ATCCGCCCCAAATCTGACCCGTGTCCTTGCTGCTTCATAGTCAAAAGGTTTCAACTGCAAAAGTCCCTCACACTCCTGGGAATTCTCAAGCTGGCTGGCCTTTCTTGTTTGATTTAGTGACTGCAAGCACTTCTGGAAGCTGGAGGACAAATCAGAGAGTAAAGTGGTCTCATCTGCGCCATCCAAATCCAAAGCAGAATCTGCAGCATCTACCCTATGCTGCAATTGATCGTTTGTTGCATGTATGTCATCGCTTATTGATTCCTCAACAATTGTATCACCTTCCAAGTGCATAACCTCTTCCAAATTAGAGCTGCCAGCTGGTACGGCAACAGGTTCTCCATCATGGGAGACTTCCAGCGGTTTAGCAGCTTTTTTTACAGCTGTTTGCATTGGTTCATCCCTGCCCAAAAATGAATGGAATGGCAGGTTTACCGTAGATTTTATCTGTTCCAGCTTGACCTCTTGTTTTTCCTATGAATTACACCTCAATAGTTTCAGCAAATATAGTCCGGTTGTATTAGATAATACCTACCATGTGGAACAAAAACAGATAAAACTAGCTTTATAATATCCGGTGGTCAATTATCTACATGGCTGAAGACACATTAAATTTTCATGTCTATAAAAGCTCCAGGTGGAGGGAAGGAGATTTTGCCAACTTGTAAACTCAAAGCTCGCATATAATTTGGTGAGCCAATTGCATGGTGTGTCTATGTGTTTTGCCTAGGCAAAATTCGGACGAAATCACCGTCTGTGTAGGTGTGTCTAAGTCATGACCAGAATCTATAATTGTCAAGTGCTGTGTGAAGACCATAACAACTCACAGATAGGTCGTGATTGAACTGGATTGCAAGATAAGGTTCTCTTGGATATTCATACAAGCATTGATGAGGGATTTCTTGTATTCATATCAAGCTAGGACTTGCATAAGTTATGGTCTGAGAAGATGACCTAGATACCACAGTCAAAAATCCTGGTTAATTGAAGGTTTTCATTAAAATGTAATTTGATGGGCTACATTTTCTTTTTTCAAACAACAACAAAGTTTTTATGTTAATATTTGGAACATGACAATCAGAAAACACTTGAGCCCAACAAGAATCAAAGCAGCAAGTTCTTTCCCACAAAATATACTTCTCAAATCTAAGTCCCAAAATTCTCGAATCACTCTCTAGGCATAAAACTAAAAAAATAGCCATCACTACAAACCTCCAAAATTAATCTTCGAACTCAAACCAGTTAATTAATAACACATTGTTCGAACTGAGCTTAGCTTCATTCAAATGGAGGTCTTTGGAGTTGCTCAATGTGAAATTCAGGAACATATTGTTTTATGGCCAGTTAATGTTCCTTCAAACAAACTGTTTTTAGGGTTCAAAACACAAGTTTGATGGATGTTTGATGCCTGTTCGAACAGGTGAGAGCAAATAGCTATGAGTTGGTTTGAACGGTGCTAAGTTGGATTCAGACGGCGTGAGTAGTTATTGCATCCATTACTTAGAAATTAATACATACCTATCTTGGCTTAGGTTTCTTGTAAACTCGAGAAAAAAAAAAATTATTTGAGAGATCAATCTAATCATAAAACAAAGGGCAAATACACTTGTGTTTGTTCTTTGATCTTTCTCGGCGAGAAGCCATTGAAGGTTTCCAAAGGTTTGGACTGCCGTACACTTGGGCATAAAAAATAAAAACAAGAATGAATCAAGGTCAGTTCGTGGTTGTACTCACCAAGCGTTAAGGAGTGAACTCCATATGACAATACTGATCATCCAAAGATTGAGTGAAGCTGGACGGAAAGTTACAAGAAAACAGTATGCCTCCGCAGAACAATTGAAGGGAGTCAAGTTAGATCAATAATGTATGTGTCTCTCCAACTCCATAAGTTCTATAGCGTCAAGTGAGCCCTGGACTAGGTCAACTGGAATTTTCCATTGTGGCTCTACATGTAATAGTTGATATGTCTCTGAAATTAATAGGTATTTTAGCAATATGTATTTATGGTTGGACTGCACGGTACTTGTGAACATTACCCTTGATTGCTGCTCCAATTAAACTGTATTCTAATTGCTTCATATACTTGTTAAGTTAATTAATGAATTGGTTAAGAATTTTAGTTGAAATTTGAATTTCGAATAACTTCTATTTTCCTTTTTCATCTCTAGGTCCCATGTAAGGTTTTTGGAGGTTTAACCAATGATCCATTCTATGTCCGAGAACATTCAACTTTCAAGTGGTATTACAGTAAAGTATGGTTAGTGTTTACATGTGTCTTTAAATAAATGGATTCCATACATGAGTGGGTTTTAATAACCCGATCACCATTGCTTGATGAGAACACTCTGCATATTGGAACCCAGGAAGCATGGATACTCTGGCGAGAGTTGACGTGACAGTGTTGAACACATGTCCAACATGGATACACGTGGGACACGGCCGGACATGTGTCCGACACTTCTACAAGTTTCCTAAACAGAAAAGCCAAAAAAAAAAAAAAAATTGGATATGGTACCTAACCCATACGACCTCTTCTTCAGCAACGGATTTGAAAGCCACATATTTTAAAGCCACAGATCTAAACTTGTATAGTCAGGTATGTCTTTTAGAACTCTTCCACTTCTTCTTTCTTCCTCTGACTCCCTCTCTCTCTGCCGCCCCTCTCTCTGTCTCTCTCTCTCTCTCACACACAATTTTTTTAAAACATTATTCTTTTTTTTGGCATAATCTATTTATTAGTTGTCAAATACATTAGACCATTGTCCAATTTGGTATTAGCCCCCACAATTATAACATATTAACCCACTGCCTAATTTGATATTAGCCCATTGTCCAATTATAAGATATTAACCAATTGCTCAATGTTTATCAGGTCGCATTATTAATTTTTTTATTTATATAAAAATATATAATATTATTTTAATTAGTCGTATCATTGTCATAACCGTGTCTTATATTTTACAACTTTGTCGTATCCTATATCCGTATCCGTACTTCTTAGATTGGAACGCTTGCATGAGAACATTCATAAGGTCTATGGATTTAAATGTGTGGACACCGGATGGACAGCATCATCTGAGGCTGTAAAATATTATATGATTCTTAAGCCCAGTGCTAAGTGGAAAAAGGGTGATTTAGAGAGCCAAGGTTGGAATACGGGTGGTCTACATGCCATCCTTAATTTCGTGAATCCTGAAACGTTGGATATTTGCAATTTTCATTTATCTAATGGTATTTAGTTATGCTATCATGTTTTTTATGGTTATTAGTTACTTCACTTATGTTTGTGAATTTGGAGTGTGGCACGTATGCTTCTCTTGGTGATTTTCATACTTGTGATTATGTTATGTATTGTTTCTGTTGAGACTTCAATATTGCATTATTTTGTTGCTTAACATAATCACTTTAAGTAGAATTAATTTCTTGGTATGAATAATACTTATAATTCCTTGCAAGTATTTTAATTAGTTCTTCAAAGTTATTTTCAAATCAACAAAAATAATTGTTCGTTCATCGAAATATTTTTCAATTGACCGCACTGACATTAGAAATCAACCGAAATAATCAATATTGCACAAATATAATTTTTTGATAAATATGAGCAAATTCGGATCCCGAAAACTGCTTGACTGATTATTGCATTTCACTTGTTCAATATACTTGTTGAGTTTTGTTATTAAATTGGTCAAGAATTTAGATCACAAATCTGTCTATTCAACCCTCCTCAGGTCCGATGTATGATCTTTTGAGATCTGACCTACGGTCCATCCTAGTCATAACAAAATATTTGGGAAAATCCATCTTTCACACGGTCTCTGGCTATATCTTACCCAACCTGATGAGACTGTAATTGTGCGGGCCATAATCTTTTCAATGCAATGTAATGATGGAAATAAAGAGATTTGATGAGTGCCGAAAAACTCACTTTTTTATCAGGATCAAATTTTCTTTTTGAAGATGTATTTCCCAGCAGTGCCCCAAAAGCACGGCTTGGCTTCTTTAATACCTGAACAGTTGCACCAGTAACCTAAAGGAATAAATAGTTGTTTTCAGACAGTCCATTGGCAGAAGTAAGAAAACATACGCACGTCCTGAGAAACAAACAACTTACTGAGTGAGACACATTCATTTCAGTATGACTCTCTGTGATCTGACAGGATATGGTCAAGTTCTCTCTCGGAAGTTGGGCAACATAGCCACATGCTTCACCCCCATATTCACCAAAATGCTCAACAGAACCTTTCTGTTGGATTCTGCCAACTCCAGCAGCACTTCTCCCAAGTTCCAAAAAACTCTCTTTAACTTGTACTGAAGCTGGTGGGTCCTCAAGCAAGCTACCATTTGCTGCACTATCGTTTCCAGTACTTTCTCGTATTGATATTTTCACTGTTGCAGGCTTTTCAGGAGGTTGCAATTCTTCAGGTTCATCAGAAGCCACTCTATTTTCTTCATACGCCTGCATACCATACAGGCTACCATCACTTAAACACACTATTACTTGCATTATCTTCCAGAAATTGTAAATATCAAAATGAATCTGACAAGAACTCCACAGAAAGTTAGAAACTAAGATAACAAATGGAGGCTAACCATTTTAAGAAGAAAAATTTAGACCTTTCCAGCTGCCATATGTACATGAGCAACAAGGTTTGTTCAGTAGCCAACTAGCTCAACAAGAAGACTGATAGCCACTTAGCTCACAAACTGACCTTTTCTGTATGATTTTCAATAGTACATAAAAAATCCCTATCGGATCATTTTTACAAAGTGAATGCCATAAATCATCCAAAAAGAAATCGAAAGTCAGCCCAAGTCAACCCTGGTACTAATAATCACCTCCTTAAATCTTATTCCCTACTTTGCGGGGAAAAAAATTATACACTCCTTAAACGCAATCCTTGAGGTCGTGCAAGTTCTACAGAAAATAACTTTCTCCTCTGCAGGTTATTTATACATTTTTGGATACAAAGTACTCTCACAAAGTTTGAATTCCTACACTCCTAGTAACTGGAAAAAAAAAAAAAANACTCCTGGGAATTCTCAAGCTGGCTGGCCTTTCTTGTTTGATTTAGTGACTGCAAGCACTTCTGGAAGCTGGAGGACAAATCAGAGAGTAAAGTGGTCTCATCTGCGCCATCCAAATCCAAAGCAGAATCTGCAGCATCTACCCTATGCTGCAATTGATCGTTTGTTGCATGTATGTCATCGCTTATTGATTCCTCAACAATTGTATCACCTTCCAAGTGCATAACCTCTTCCAAATTAGAGCTGCCAGCTGGTACGGCAACAGGTTCTCCATCATGGGAGACTTCCAGCGGTTTAGCAGCTTTTTTTACAGCTGTTTGCATTGGTTCATCCCTGCCCAAAAATGAATGGAATGGCAGGTTTACCGTAGATTTTATCTGTTCCAGCTTGACCTTTTGTTTTTCCTATGAATTACACCTCAATAGTTTCAGCAAATATAGTCCGGTTGTATTAGATAATACCTACCATGTGGAACAAAAACAGATAAAACTAGCTTTATAATATCCGGTGGTCAATTATCTACATGGCTGAAGACACATTAAATTTTCATGTCTATAAAAGCTCCAGGTGGAGGGAAGGAGATTTTGCCAACTTGTAAACTCAAAGCTCGCATATAATTTGGTGAGCCAATTGCATGGTGTGTCTATGTGTTTTGCCTAGGCAAAATTCGGACGAAATCACCGTCTGTGTAGGTGTGTCTAAGTCATGACCAGAATCTATAATTGTCAAGTGCTGTGTGAAGACCATAACAACTCACAGATAGGTCGTGATTGAACTGGATTGCAAGATAAGGTTCTCTTGGATATTCATACAAGCATTGATGAGGGATTTCTTGTATTCATATCAAGCTAGGACTTGCATAAGTTATGGTCTGAGAAGATGACCTAGATACCACAGTCAAAAATCCTGGTTAATTGAAGGTTTTCATTAAAATGTAATTTGATGGGCTACATTTTCTTTTTTCAAACAACAACAAAGTTTTTATGTTAATATTTGGAACATGACAATCAGAAAACACTTGAGCCCAACAAGAATCAAAGCAGCAAGTTCTTTCCCACAAAATATACTTCTCAAATCTAAGTCCCAAAATTCTCGAATCACTCTCTAGGCATAAAACTAAAAAAATAGCCATCACTACAAACCTCCAAAATTAATCTTCGAACTCAAACCAGTTAATTAATAACACATTGTTCGAACTGAGCTTAGCTTCATTCAAATGGAGGTCTTTGGAGTTGCTCAATGTGAAATTCAGGAACATATTGTTTTATGGCCAGTTAATGTTCCTTCAAACAAACTGTTTTTAGGGTTCAAAACACAAGTTTGATGGATGTTTGATGCCTGTTCGAACAGGTGAGAGCAAATAGCTATGAGTTGGTTTGAACGGTGCTAAGTTGGATTCAGACGGCGTGAGTAGTTATTGCATCCATTACTTAGAAATTAATACATACCTATCTTGGCTTAGGTTTCTTGTAAACTCGAGAAAAAAAAAAATTATTTGAGAGATCAATCTAATCATAAAACAAAGGGCAAATACACTTGTGTTTGTTCTTTGATCTTTCTCGGCGAGAAGCCATTGAAGGTTTCCAAAGGTTTGGACTGCCGTACACTTGGGCATAAAAAATAAAAACAAGAATGAATCAAGGTCAGTTCGTGGTTGTACTCACCAAGCGTTAAGGAGTGAACTCCATATGACAATACTGATCATCCAAAGATTGAGTGAAGCTGGACGGAAAGTTACAAGAAAACAGTATGCCTCCGCAGAACAATTGAAGGGAGTCAAGTTAGATCAATAATGTATGTGTCTCTCCAACTCCATAAGTTCTATAGCGTCAAGTGAGCCCTGGACTAGGTCAACTGGAATTTTCCATTGTGGCTCTACATGTAATAGTTGATATGTCTCTGAAATTAATAGGTATTTTAGCAATATGTATTTATGGTTGGACTGCACGGTACTTGTGAACATTACCCTTGATTGCTGCTCCAATTAAACTGTATTCTAATTGCTTCATATACTTGTTAAGTTAATTAATGAATTGGTTAAGAATTTTAGTTGAAATTTGAATTTCGAATAACTTCTATTTTCCTTTTTCATCTCTAGGTCCCATGTAAGGTTTTTGGAGGTTTAACCAATGATCCATTCTATGTCCGAGAACATTCAACTTTCAAGTGGTATTACAGTAAAGTATGGTTAGTGTTTACATGTGTCTTTAAATAAATGGATTCCATACATGAGTGGGTTTTAATAACCCGATCACCATTGCTTGATGAGAACACTCTGCATATTGGAACCCAGGAAGCATGGATACTCTGGCGAGAGTTGACGTGACAGTGTTGAACACATGTCCAACATGGATACACGTGGGACACGGCCGGACATGTGTCCGACACTTCTACAAGTTTCCTAAACAGAAAAGCCAAAAAAAAAAAAAAAATTGGATATGGTACCTAACCCATACGACCTCTTCTTCAGCAACGGATTTGAAAGCCACATATTTTAAAGCCACAGATCTAAACTTGTATAGTCAGGTATGTCTTTTAGAACTCTTCCACTTCTTCTTTCTTCCTCTGACTCCCTCTCTCTCTGCCGCCCCTCTCTCTGTCTCTCTCTCTCTCTCACACACAATTTTTTTAAAACATTATTCTTTTTTTTGGCATAATCTATTTATTAGTTGTCAAATACATTAGACCATTGTCCAATTTGGTATTAGCCCCCACAATTATAACATATTAACCCACTGCCTAATTTGATATTAGCCCATTGTCCAATTATAAGATATTAACCAATTGCTCAATGTTTATCAGGTCGCATTATTAATTTTTTTATTTATATAAAAATATATAATATTATTTTAATTAGTCGTATCATTGTCATAACCGTGTCTTATATTTTACAACTTTGTCGTATCCTATATCCGTATCCGTACTTCTTAGATTGGAACGCTTGCATGAGAACATTCATAAGGTCTATGGATTTAAATGTGTGGACACCGGATGGACAGGATCATCTGAGGCTGTAAAATATTATATGATTCTTAAGCCCAGTGCTAAGTGGAAAAAGGGTGATTTAGAGAGCCAAGGTTGGAATACGGGTGGTCTACATGCCATCCTTAATTTCGTGAATCCTGAAACGTTGGATATTTGCAATTTTCATTTATCTAATGGTATTTAGTTATGCTATCATGTTTTTTATGGTTATTAGTTACTTCACTTATGTTTGTGAATTTGGAGTGTGGCACGTATGCTTCTCTTGGTGATTTTCATACTTGTGATTATGTTATGTATTGTTTCTGTTGAGACTTCAATATTGCATTATTTTGTTGCTTAACATAATCACTTTAAGTAGAATTAATTTCTTGGTATGAATAATACTTATAATTCCTTGCAAGTATTTTAATTAGTTCTTCAAAGTTATTTTCAAATCAACAAAAATAATTGTTCGTTCATCGAAATATTTTTCAATTGACCGCACTGACATTAGAAATCAACCGAAATAATCAATATTGCACAAATATAATTTTTTGATAAATATGAGCAAATTCGGATCCCGAAAACTGCTTGACTGATTATTGCATTTCACTTGTTCAATATACTTGTTGAGTTTTGTTATTAAATTGGTCAAGAATTTAGATCACAAATCTGTCTATTCAACCCTCCTCAGGTCCGATGTATGATCTTTTGAGATCTGACCTACGGTCCATCCTAGTCATAACAAAATATTTGGGAAAATCCATCTTTCACACGGTCTCTGGCTATATCTTACCCAACCTGATGAGACTGTAATTGTGCGGGCCATAATCTTTTCAATGCAATGTAATGATGGAAATAAAGAGATTTGATGAGTGCCGAAAAACTCACTTTTTTATCAGGATCAAATTTTCTTTTTGAAGATGTATTTCCCAGCAGTGCCCCAAAAGCACGGCTTGGCTTCTTTAATACCTGAACAGTTGCACCAGTAACCTAAAGGAATAAATAGTTGTTTTCAGACAGTCCATTGGCAGAAGTAAGAAAACATACGCACGTCCTGAGAAACAAACAACTTACTGAGTGAGACACATTCATTTCAGTATGACTCTCTGTGATCTGACAGGATATGGTCAAGTTCTCTCTCGGAAGTTGGGCAACATAGCCACATGCTTCACCCCCATATTCACCAAAATGCTCAACAGAACCTTTCTGTTGGATTCTGCCAACTCCAGCAGCACTTCTCCCAAGTTCCAAAAAACTCTCTTTAACTTGTACTGAAGCTGGTGGGTCCTCAAGCAAGCTACCATTTGCTGCACTATCATTTCCAGTACTTTCTCGTATTGATATTTTCACTGTTGCAGGCTTTTCAGGAGGTTGCAATTCTTCAGGTTCATCAGAAGCCACTCTATTTTCTTCATACGCCTGCATACCATACAGGCTACCATCACTTAAACACACTATTACTTGCATTATCTTCCAGAAATTGTAAATATCAAAATGAATCTGACAAGAACTCCACAGAAAGTTAGAAACTAAGATAACAAATGGAGGCTAACCATTTTAAGAAGAAAAATTTAGACCTTTCCAGCTGCCATATGTACATGAGCAACAAGGTTTGTTCAGTAGCCAACTAGCTCAACAAGAAGACTGATAGCCACTTAGCTCACAAACTGACCTTTTCTGTATGATTTTCAATAGTACATAAAAAATCCCTATCGGATCATTTTTACAAAGTGAATGCCATAAATCATCCAAAAAGAAATCGAAAGTCAGCCCAAGTCAACCCTGGTACTAATAATCACCTCCTTAAATCTTATTCCCTACTTTGCGGGGAAAAAAATTATACACTCCTTAAACGCAATCCTTGAGGTCGTGCAAGTTCTACAGAAAATAACTTTCTCCTCTGCAGGTTATTTATACATTTTTGGATACAAAGTACTCTCACAAAGTTTGAATTCCTACACTCCTAGTAACTGGAAAAAAAAAAAAAAAAACTTCACATATGATAAGAAGAAATAATTGTCTATTCTTTTATAAAACTCACAAACCATAAATTTTATTTACGATATTCTACATTTAAAAGAAAAAGTATTTATAGATCTTCCCCCTACCTCCATCTGAGCAGTTGAAAGGAAACTTCATTTTGATGAGCTTCCATCTTGTGGAAGGTGTATTAATTTTTATGACTTATTTTCCATTAATTGGGAAAAAATATTTTAAAGGAATATCTATAATTCAATGCAACCATCATCAATGGCACTCATGCAATGGTGCAGCATACCAAGNCTTGTGTTTGTTCTTTGATCTTTCTCGGCGAGAAGCCATTGAAGGTTTCCAAAGGTTTGGACTGCCGTACACTTGGGCATAAAAAATAAAAACAAGAATGAATCAAGGTCAGTTCGTGGTTGTACTCACCAAGCGTTAAGGAGTGAACTCCATATGACAATACTGATCATCCAAAGATTGAGTGAAGCTGGACGGAAAGTTACAAGAAAACAGTATGCCTCCGCAGAACAATTGAAGGGAGTCAAGTTAGATCAATAATGTATGTGTCTCTCCAACTCCATAAGTTCTATAGCGTCAAGTGAGCCCTGGACTAGGTCAACTGGAATTTTCCATTGTGGCTCTACATGTAATAGTTGATATGTCTCTGAAATTAATAGGTATTTTAGCAATATGTATTTATGGTTGGACTGCACGGTACTTGTGAACATTACCCTTGATTGCTGCTCCAATTAAACTGTATTCTAATTGCTTCATATACTTGTTAAGTTAATTAATGAATTGGTTAAGAATTTTAGTTGAAATTTGAATTTCGAATAACTTCTATTTTCCTTTTTCATCTCTAGGTCCCATGTAAGGTTTTTGGAGGTTTAACCAATGATCCATTCTATGTCCGAGAACATTCAACTTTCAAGTGGTATTACAGTAAAGTATGGTTAGTGTTTACATGTGTCTTTAAATAAATGGATTCCATACATGAGTGGGTTTTAATAACCCGATCACCATTGCTTGATGAGAACACTCTGCATATTGGAACCCAGGAAGCATGGATACTCTGGCGAGAGTTGACGTGACAGTGTCAAACACATGTCCAACATGGATACACGTGGGACACGGCCGGACATGTGTCCGACACTTCTACAAGTTTCCTAAACAGAAAAGCCAAAAAAAAAAAAAAAATTGGATATGGTACCTAACCCATACGACCTCTTCTTCAGCAACGGATTTGAAAGCCACATATTTTAAAGCCACAGATCTAAACTTGTATAGTCAGGTATGTCTTTTAGAACTCTTCCACTTCTTCTTTCTTCCTCTGACTCCCTCTCTCTCTGCCGCCCCTCTCTCTGTCTCTCTCTCTCTCTCACACACAATTTTTTTAAAACATTATTCTTTTTTTTGGCATAATCTATTTATTAGTTGTCAAATACATTAGACCATTGTCCAATTTGGTATTAGCCCCCACAATTATAACATATTAACCCACTGCCTAATTTGATATTAGCCCATTGTCCAATTATAAGATATTAACCAATTGCTCAATGTTTATCAGGTCGCATTATTAATTTTTTTATTTATATAAAAATATATAATATTATTTTAATTAGTCGTATCATTGTCATAACCGTGTCTTATATTTTACAACTTTGTCGTATCCTATATCCGTATCCGTACTTCTTAGATTGGAACGCTTGCATGAGAACATTCATAAGGTCTATGGATTTAAATGTGTGGACACCGGATGGACAGGATCATCTGAGGCTGTAAAATATTATATGATTCTTAAGCCCAGTGCTAAGTGGAAAAAGGGTGATTTAGAGAGCCAAGGTTGGAATACGGGTGGTCTACATGCCATCCTTAATTTCGTGAATCCTGAAACGTTGGATATTTGCAATTTTCATTTATCTAATGGTATTTAGTTATGCTATCATGTTTTTTATGGTTATTAGTTACTTCACTTATGTTTGTGAATTTGGAGTGTGGCACGTATGCTTCTCTTGGTGATTTTCATACTTGTGATTATGTTATGTATTGTTTCTGTTGAGACTTCAATATTGCATTATTTTGTTGCTTAACATAATCACTTTAAGTAGAATTAATTTCTTGGTATGAATAATACTTATAATTCCTTGCAAGTATTTTAATTAGTTCTTCAAAGTTATTTTCAAATCAACAAAAATAATTGTTCGTTCATCGAAATATTTTTCAATTGACCGCACTGACATTAGAAATCAACCGAAATAATCAATATTGCACAAATATAATTTTTTGATAAATATGAGCAAATTCGGATCCCGAAAACTGCTTGACTGATTATTGCATTTCACTTGTTCAATATACTTGTTGAGTTTTGTTATTAAATTGGTCAAGAATTTAGATCACAAATCTGTCTATTCAACCCTCCTCAGGTCCGATGTATGATCTTTTGAGATCTGACCTACGGTCCATCCTAGTCATAACAAAATATTTGGGAAAATCCATCTTTCACACGGTCTCTGGCTATATCTTACCCAACCTGATGAGACTGTAATTGTGCGGGCCATAATCTTTTCAATGCAATGTAATGATGGAAATAAAGAGATTTGATGAGTGCCGAAAAACTCACTTTTTTATCAGGATCAAATTTTCTTTTTGAAGATGTATTTCCCAGCAGTGCCCCAAAAGCACGGCTTGGCTTCTTTAATACCTGAACAGTTGCACCAGTAACCTAAAGGAATAAATAGTTGTTTTCAGACAGTCCATTGGCAGAAGTAAGAAAACATACGCACGTCCTGAGAAACAAACAACTTACTGAGTGAGACACATTCATTTCAGTATGACTCTCTGTGATCTGACAGGATATGGTCAAGTTCTCTCTCGGAAGTTGGGCAACATAGCCACATGCTTCACCCCCATATTCACCAAAATGCTCAACAGAACCTTTCTGTTGGATTCTGCCAACTCCAGCAGCACTTCTCCCAAGTTCCAAAAAACTCTCTTTAACTTGTACTGAAGCTGGTGGGTCCTCAAGCAAGCTACCATTTGCTGCACTATCATTTCCAGTACTTTCTCGTATTGATATTTTCACTGTTGCAGGCTTTTCAGGAGGTTGCAATTCTTCAGGTTCATCAGAAGCCACTCTATTTTCTTCATACGCCTGCATACCATACAGGCTACCATCACTTAAACACACTATTACTTGCATTATCTTCCAGAAATTGTAAATATCAAAATGAATCTGACAAGAACTCCACAGAAAGTTAGAAACTAAGATAACAAATGGAGGCTAACCATTTTAAGAAGAAAAATTTAGACCTTTCCAGCTGCCATATGTACATGAGCAACAAGGTTTGTTCAGTAGCCAACTAGCTCAACAAGAAGACTGATAGCCACTTAGCTCACAAACTGACCTTTTCTGTATGATTTTCAATAGTACATAAAAAATCCCTATCGGATCATTTTTACAAAGTGAATGCCATAAATCATCCAAAAAGAAATCGAAAGTCAGCCCAAGTCAACCCTGGTACTAATAATCACCTCCTTAAATCTTATTCCCTACTTTGCGGGGAAAAAAATTATACACTCCTTAAACGCAATCCTTGAGGTCGTGCAAGTTCTACAGAAAATAACTTTCTCCTCTGCAGGTTATTTATACATTTTTGGATACAAAGTACTCTCACAAAGTTTGAATTCCTACACTCCTAGTAACTGGAAAAAAAAAAAAAAAAACTTCACATATGATAAGAAGAAATAATTGTCTATTCTTTTATAAAACTCACAAACCATAAATTTTATTTACGATATTCTACATTTAAAAGAAAAAGTATTTATAGATCTTCCCCCTACCTCCATCTGAGCAGTTGAAAGGAAACTTCATTTTGATGAGCTTCCATCTTGTGGAAGGTGTATTAATTTTTATGACTTATTTTCCATTAATTGGGAAAAAATATTTTAAAGGAATATCTATAATTCAATGCAACCATCATCAATGGCACTCATGCAATGGTGCAGCATACCAAGTAGATATCAATGACGGAAAATAAACAGAGGTAGGACGGTCAACCCTAACTTTTATATGTGAGTCTTACTGTTTCCATGCGNAATTAATTGGGAAAAAATATTTTAAAGGAATATCTATAATTCAATGCAACCATCATCAATGGCATTCATGCAATGGTGCAGCATACCAAGTAGATATCAATGACGGAAAATAAACAGAGGTAGGACGGTCAACCCTAACTTTTATATGTGAGTCTTACTGTTTCCATGCGTCTTTCCTTTAAATGTTCAGCAGCAACTTCAAATGTAGTTGCATTTTGGATTGAATGCCTAATGATACTAACAACAGAATTAAGATTCCGCTCCACATACGGGTGCTTCGATTTCATCAACCGGCGCAACTGACTGGCAGTCACAGGCATCTGTTTACCTATTATCGTAATGGGAGGAAAAGAAAAAGAACAAGAGACAAAAAAAAAAGTACATAAATAAGTTATTGCCTGGTATCTGGAAATACTAAGCCCAAATCCAAAGCTGATATTAAATTTGCATCAAGTTCAAAT